ATTTGCCGATATCTACACGCAAGACTATAGCGGATATTTTAAGGACATTAAAGATTACATATATCTAAACGGTGAAAAATACCGTCCCCAAGATATATCACCAATTAACATTTTTAGCTTTGTTACACTCAAAAATAAGATCCTCGATTTTCTAGGATGGCCCTACTACATCTTAGAAAAATTGACTATTTTATACGCAATGTTTAACTTTATTGGATTTCTTTTCTCACTTTTAAAAGGAATCTACAACACATGTGCTATACACACACAAGTAAACAGACAAGCAAGTGTAGCACGCATACTATTTGCAGGATTTTTTGGAATCTTTTCTACATCTATAAACAAAATTCTTTTAGACGCACAAATAAAAGAATATAACACAAAAATAACAACACGACAAAATACATACGACGAAGAACATAACAATGTAGACATAACGCCAACGGCACCACAATTACCAGCCCTACCAAATAACCATCCACTATCCCTAGTCCCACGAAATTTTCGAAACTTAGCCATCACACATAATCCAAATTTTCGACTCACCACATCACAAAGTCCCATTCAACATATAATGACACACCAGTCACAAGATGATAATACTTATGAACAAATTATTGAACAACCCCATACCACCGCTTTTCAGTCTCAAAATAATCATTTTTTTAGCCCACGATGAGCCGCCAACTTGGATCACTACACCGATCAAATTCCCACCCAACCAATCTTACCTCTCCAATCCCAATAATACCACTTTTTGCTTTTCCGCCACCCGATTTTCCATCTAGTAATGTAACATCAGGCATGAATTCCGACACTAATTCACACATCTCAGTATTATACTCCATCTCACAGCTAAATAACCCGAATATTGAAACCCCCGATGAATTCGCCGACTCAGAACCATCCCCATCCAATAATTTTCATAACTCTTCTAATTTTTCTCAACCCCCTTTTCAACCCATATTATCCAATAACCCTGACCCAATTACTCCCACACCCTCTTATGCTTCCCAAGTTACCCCAACCTATTCCTCATACCATTCTGACCAATCATCTCATTCTCCAGACACCCCCCGAATCTCCCCAGAGCTAGATAATTTTATTACCCTTCAACAACAACCCTACCACCTTAATACCCCAACCATAAACCAAATCTCCTCCACAATAAATTCATCCAACCCCCTACCTCTACACCCTCTTCAACTTATACTGAATTATTAGCACCATCATCCACATCAACTGAATCTTCACTCAACACTAATAGAGCTTACCGCACTTTTAAAAGAAAGTTCCCCAACCATCCTTTCCCAGCAAAACCAGGAACAGCCCGTGAATACATCAACCACCCCAAGCATACTAACACAAAAGAATTTTTAGCCATCACCTTACCCTCATTCCCACAATACACCTTAAACACCCCCCACGACACTAACGAAACACGCAACTTCGTAGATGAATACGTTTTAATGCCTACTCTCTCTTGGACCTCATATTATCATTTCACGAACCCTCTTTGCTTACCTTTATCTAACACTCACATCGATATAGAGCGAAATACGGACATGCTATATCGACTCACTACACCACTAACACCTAGACAATTTACTTACGTTGGATATAAAAAATCACTAAAAACACACACTGCACCTAGAGCTAACGAATATACACTCGAATACTATGATCACAACATCATCAGAGCTAACCAAGATCAATTCTTAGACGACGATCGCTTCGCTAATCCACAAATTACCGAGAAATTTTTCATCAAGACACCATATACATTCACACTAAACATCTTCGACCGAAAGTTTGATCACATTATTTCAGAAGCACTAACAGACACACAAGCATACGAAAGTTTTAAAGAACGCTTCCAAATATTTTCACTAACCTTTCATTTCCTTGCACCACACGAAAGAGATTTACACTGCTCACACGATATTATGTTGCGCACTAAACAAACCCACACATATAGTTATTATCGCTTCATCCAAAATCACTTTGACCTACACACACCCTCTAGACAACCACACCATCGTTTTCAATTCATTAATTCCAAATACACTTCACCATTTTTCCTAAATTTCACATATTGTATTAAAGACACTAACCTCCATGGTATTCTTCGTAATTATGACCCCATAACCCAAATGTACATCTTCTGTCCCATCACCAAGACCTTCAACGCCGAAGAATCCCGACCCTTCCTTATCCCGCACGAGTTTGTACAACCCATAGAAATCCCAATTTTAGAATTCATCCACAACACTAAATTCAATCACAAATTATATAACTTAATCCAAAACACACCTTATGAGTTTGCAGTTGGCACTGAAGAACTAACCACTATCAAGGCACTTCAATTGCTTTGGCCACTGCTTCAAACTAAAAATATCATCCGCATCTTAGCTAAACTACTAACAACTTCAGAACTAATTCACGACATCTTCCCCCACGGTTTTTTCCCCGACGACTAACAGGTAAGTATGAATTAAATGAATATTACTAACTAATTAAAATATTAAAAAACTCACCATACTTTATTCATGTTTTCTTTAGATTTTTAGCCTTCATCCGACGATCACCTACAAAAACCACAAAAGACAAATAAAAATCGCAAATTTCATCAAACAGATTTCAAAAATTCTATTAATCTCTTACACTTATAAATTTATAAATTTAATACCAATGCAGTAAATTCATTTCTAAAATTTTCCCCCACAAGCAGTAAATCTAATTATGATGAAAATTTGTATCTTAATATTCCCCCATGACTAGCAGTAAATTTCTAAATTCTATGTAGTACATTAAATAAATGCAAATGCAGTACTAACCTTTTGATATTTTCATTCATTCGCACAGAAATTCTATCCACACTCGCACAGCTCGCCCACGAAGAATTGTTTAAAATAATGAATTTCAGTTTCAAGTTTTCACACTCAACAACTCTAACATATAATAACATGTTTCAAACTTTCCTTTAACCCGGTTGGAAAGGAATCATATACTAAACAAAACTAACCAACGCAGCTTACTAAATACCACAAATCATAGAATAACAGCATGACTTAGAAAAAGAAACCAACGGTACCCAAACCGGATTAACCCAGTTTAAAACTGGATAATTTATTCTTTTGAAGACTATTATAAAGTCTAAGAAAGAAATAATAAAACACAAAAAAGTCGAAAGACAAACCCATACCACAAACAATTTGATTTTTGAAAAAAGGACACAACCAACAAAACATAAGTAAGACCACAACAAACTCAACATAAAACGTTGTCACATAACAGGACCCCTCACAAAAACCGCATGAAATCATACTCCCACTCCTGGCCTATCCCACCAGGAAGGACGTCCTGAGCATGCTCTATAGCCGGCCTAACCCACCGCGCTACATCCACGCTTTGTGACCACACCACTATTTTTAATAAGAGCTACTCAAGTGTGAGTAACTCTTCAAAATAACCGAACTAAAACAAAAAGCTTTTGTGAAAACAACTAACTAAAATCATTATTAAAAAATATTAAACTAATAAAAGTTTTATAAAATGTAAAATCACATGATGCAATACATAGATCAGAATACAACACCAAGGACGAACATCAAAAGACAAGACGACCCCACTACACTCGAGAGAGAATGACCAACTACAATCGATATGCCGCTCACAATCACAACTCAAAGGATTTAGAGTACGACTTGACCTCGCAGAAAAGGACTTCATTGAACTAGACCAATGACCACCTCGATGTTCAAGTATACGTACAGATCCGAGTAACCAGGCATCCCCTCCACGCACAATCTCCACGCCATTCCCAAACTAGATCATACACAAAAGAAGTTCTCCACGCAGAACAGAAAAACCTGACATAGCAAACCATTCTGAAATCAGATTTGAGTTTGTTGCAAAGACGTAGTCGTTGTCACTAGAAGACACAACGTCTTATGTCTCTAACTCCAGCTTCCTGGAACTTCCCTAACAAAAGAGGAAACGGAAGAAAATTATGATGTTCGCCAAAAACAAACGTCCATCATCCATCCTTCGAATTGCAGAAGAACTATTCTAAAAAACTCTGTAAAACCCGGATGGGTGGAACCTGATCTAAACTACATTTTATGATTGGATAAATTAAATGTTTTACCAATGTAAAGTATTTAATATTAACCAATCATGATCCATCTAACTAACAACCCACTTATTTGTAAGTGCTGAAGTTACTTGTAATTTCAGCACCAGAGAGATTTGAATTTAACTTAGAAATTAGTTGGACTCTCCCGAGCACTTCAGCAGCCGCAATAAACCAGTATACCCTAGATCTATTGAGCCTAGCAGAGACTAGTTAAACAACCTGAGACTAGATAGTATAAGAGTAAGATTAGGATCGGTATTAGACTAAGAAGTTGCACGAATCTATCCGGCCGAAAATAAGATAGCGTGACGAGCAGACGGTGTACCCTATCCGAAATTACTCTATGAGTTACACTTCGGTCCTAACTCACTAGGCCATACTTCTTAACGAGTACCAAGAGAAGAAGGGAATTCAAAAAAGAGTCAACCATTGATTTTCCCAGCCCATATCAAAATGAGGGTTTTTTAAAAATTTGTAAACACCCTTCAAAAACCCTAAAAACTCTGATCTGGCGGGAAGTTTTTGAGAAAAAATGGTTCAAATTTTTGACACTTTCTGTAAAGTTTTGACCAAGAACTGGCCTCCTCTTTTTGATGATTGCCTTCCCTGAAAGCGCTTTAGGAAAATTTAGACGGTCGGAAAAGGACATCGAAAATTAACATTAAAAGGGGCAACTTTTAGAAGGCTAGAGTGGTCTGCCTGTTCCTACAATCCCCGTCCCTCTGTCTGACACTTCACTACTAGCTGTCAGAGGAGTGGATACTTTTGCGACCATTAAAGTAAACAACGCCGTTCTTTGAAAGTGTTTCTTACATTAAGTGTTACACTTTTCGAGTTCATTTCAAGCGAATCTATAATTTGAGAGAGAGAGAGAGAGTTATAAAAAAATAGACAATCTGGTGAACACTTCAGAAAAAACTTATAGAGCGCTAGAGTCAAGCCTGAAGCGCATATACAATGTCTAAATTATGGCTTGAGCATTTAGAATTGGCCTTACTTATACTAATAGGTAAGATTTTACATTTAAACTCGTTTGAGCGTTTACCCCCTATCTGTGATCTTCACCAAATGACGCTTGGGTTAATTAACATTGTCAGATGGTTTTGAAACTAGGCGTGCGTGGTTTTTTTTTGAATTTTAAACATTTCGTATAAATTGACATCCTTGTAAATCAATGGTTCACGCAAAACCATTTTTGACGTTGATGGCGTGTAAACAGTTGAAAAGCCAATAATCTTTATACAATACCCTCATCAATCAACTAATAACTATCACTTATAAATTTTAGTCTTTTGGCTCGGGTTAATTTTATACGCGCTTCACCGCAAAAAAAAAGAGTTCTCATGATCTTCTACGGAATTCTTTGACGTCTCCAGGTACTTAAAAACTGGCCTTCCGCCCCTCACACAAGTGTTTTGTATTTTTGATAAAAATGTTAAAAGTAATGTTTTTTTTTCACTCATTCAATCTATTAATTTAGTCGGAGGAGTGAACTTGCCTTACTTTTGGTGCACGAGGACGCCATTGTCTCTCTTTCTCAGCGGGGTTGATTCTACTCCTCTCCTGGCCAATGACACTCTAGGCGACTACGAGGCAGTTGAACTGGGCAATCTGACCTCAGACGAACAAATCTTGAATAAGAGATACAATGTTACCAAATCGGAAGAGAAGACGAAATTCTGCTTCAGCCTAGGTAAACTTGACCTTTTTTGTAGCGAAATTTCTGTTTGTACTTTAAGAAAAAATGTATGTACAACAAGGAAAAGAGACAGGTGGTCATCTAGCTTTTTCCTTTTTTCCCCAGCATTTCAAATTTACCTTTTTTAAAATTAACTTACGTGTTATTATGGCTGACTGCGTGACGTTACGATGTAAAGTATGAAGAGAGATTCTTTTTACTATAAATAATTTCTTGGTCGTGCGAAAATTCTTTACACTATGGCAACGTCAAAAAAGCTCTTCAATGCTCAAATTCAAATGTAGGGAAAGTGAAAAAGAGCCGATCCTCTCAAGGAAGCCTCAAATTTGAATCTGAAAAACTAAAATCATTCAGACTAGTTTTGGACTCTTTATTATCGTTGCAAACCCCATCCCACCAACCTCAGCATACTCATAGCTCTTTTACCCCTTCTCAGATATGAATCAATGTTTTGGTGTAACGAGCGGTTTTGCGAGGTTAAGTATGAATCATAAATATGTTTCGAATATCTGCTAACCTGGAAAAATAGCATTGTGGGTTTTTGTATTATGAGGATCTGCATTTTTTGCTTAATGGAAACGCGTATAACTTGATACGGGAGACTACAATGGGTAAAAAAAATCTTGTGCGGTGCATGTTGTTGGATTTCTCTTCAAAATTTTTAAAATTTTGAAAATTTGTATTGTACAGTAATTTAATTCAAAATTTAAAAAATATATATATTTCTGATTATAAACAACAATTGATTTGTTCTTCCTGAAGAGCATATTTTTTTGAGCATGGTTCATTCCACCATTCAGGCAAAACAAAATCTTAGACAATTTGTGTGATTTAAGGTTTTGTCCTGTTTCCTGCCTTTTTTGTTTTCATTTTTTAAGCTTTTGCTATGAAATTATTATGTTTTTTAGAAATCAAAAGATTTGAATTGGCAATTTTTCAGCTTTCTTTCCAAATTTGAAAAAACTGAGCTCAAATTGTGCCGCAACATTTCATTTTTAAGCTTTTTTGAGGAACACATATCTGTTTTTTGGTACTTATTGTTTTTTTTTCTAAAAATGTACCGGGCTTGGGGTAACATTGGGTCGAATTTAGAGAAGCTTGAATAGGCTTTAAATCAACGTTACAGATTATTTGCCAGTTACAAAATGAAAATTTTTTGCCCAATTTTTCGTACCTGTTCAGCTCACTAATATTTTGCTTAGCTGTTATTGATTCTAGTAGCACACAATGTTCCGACTACATCCATTAAAAATTTTTAAAAAAATAAGGTGTTTTGATGGTTTTTTTTTCTCAAATTGTTGTCGTTTTGTTTATCTGTGGTGTTATAACACAAATGAAAAAATCAAGCAATTAAAAAAATTAGGCATGATAGATAACAGTTGTTTTCTAAACTTCAACAAAAAAAAACAACAATAAATTTATAAATTTACACAATAATTTTTGAATAAACACTTTTTATTGAATAAATACCCAAGCTTCCAACGGCAGTTCACAGGAAAAAATTGAGCTTTTTTTGTAAAAGAAAACTATAATCAAATTTTTTCGAACGAGCACAGCAAAAACTTCAAAAGCTGGCACGAAACTCCTATTTTTCTCCTCGAGACTGCGACAATTTTTAAAAATTTCAAAAATAGTTCCAAAAAAAACTTGAGAGGACTTTTTTATCATATATTATTCAAATTATTGTGACAATTTTTTGATTTCTTATATTACCTGATTTTACTTGAGGAAAACGAGAGATTTGAAAAAAGGAAGGAGCTTTTGTTTATGCAGGTTTTAATGTTTTTCTTTCTAATTGGTTCTTTTGTTTTCAAAAAAACCATTTCTATATTCTATTCGGAATTTCTGGATGCCTATTTTCACAAAGTAATGGAAGTTTTTCTACACTAGCCTCTGTATCGATAATTTTTTGACAACAAAGTCATTTCTTTGAAGATTTTTTGTAGTCTTTGTAGTCTATGACACAGCGTTACAACCGGTCCGATAACCAGCCCGAGAACTGAAAATCTGTTTACCCTTACTGCTTGCTACTAATTCTGGCAAAATATACATTCTTTGCATTTTGTTTCAGTTTCCCGCCCTCTGTAAAATTACAAAATAACGTTGTTGAAAAACTGTTCGTGGCAATTTGATTGCGAAAGTTTTTCCAAAGGTCTGCACACTTGTTCACGGTCACATGTCTTACTGCTGCAGTTAGAATGTTGAAAGTCATTTTGAATAGGCTTTCATATCTCTTTCATAATTCGAAACGGGGTCTGGAAAAGATCCGCCCATTTTCAGTCGACCATTTTAATTTTTGCAAAAAAGGCTCTTTTCCAGTTTCCCACCCCCTCGTAAAAATGCAAAACAAAGCTTTTCAAAAATTGTTCACACGGCAGTTTGCATGTTAGATGTATTTTAAAATTTGTGCACCTGTTCACGCTGACACGTTTTGATGCCGTTTTTAACATGGGAAATCATTTCGAAAGACTTTTAATATTGAATTTCTCAAAAAATCACAGAGAGGGGGACTGGAAAAGAGCAAAAAAAAAAACGTGTTTCAAATAAGGTTTTTTTTGAAAATTTTTCCTGATATAAATTGCACCTAAACGTTTCCATGTAAGCAAATGGAAAATTTTTAAGGTATTTTCCTCTACATTACACAGGCATCAAAATTAGAGTAAAACAAGTAATTTTACAATGCTAGGTTTAAAAACTGAATGATGGCCATAGCTTTACTACTTCACGCATCAATTTTTAGTTCAACACATCCATGTGAATAAAATATAACAATGAAGTATTTGCAGCTGAAAAAAGGAAAGGAAAAAAGCCAGGTTTGTCGTTTTTTCTACATGTAAAACCCGGCATGAAAGCTTTTTTTCAAGTTTATGTTCTTTTCGGCTCTGTTTCTTCCTTACTCCCCTCACATGCTTTTTTAAAAGTAATTCTTCTGTTCTTACACTCTGAGTGATACCAAAATTGGCATGCGGACTAAAAAGGTTGCGACAAAAATGTTTGTACGTAATATTTTGACGTGTAAAACCCCTCGTTACAACATACAATTGATGTTTATGAATGGTGCGCGGAGAGTGAGAAGAAAAAACAGCCTGCTTTGAAAACACGTACACAAGAAAACTCAAAAACCTATTAAAACTTGGGGCTAGCAGGAAAGTTATAAGACGGTTGTTAAGATCAATCAGCATTCAATCAATAAGGAAAACAGAAAGAAATTAATATATCTCACATTGGGAAAATGGATAAAAAACAGCCCTGGAAGAAAGCGAATTAATTATTCAGCTTTTAAGCAAATAAATTGAATTCCAGGAGAATCACAAGCGTTATGACAAACTTGACATCAAATGAGTTCGAGTAAAAAATAGGTTCAAAAGCAGCTAGCAACTGTGCCAGCTAGCTGCTTCAGCCGAAGGTATTCGTCCTCGCGACGCTCACCCTAATGTCTTGGTATTACAAACAAATTCTTTGATTTTCAAGGAAGCAGATACAGGTTTTAGTGTTACCTTTTTTCTTAATTCTTTTGATACATGCCAGATTTACAGCAGGACATTAATTCTGATTGAAAACATTATAGTAAATTCATGCGACTTTTAAATATAGTCGGTGGGTCTATTAAAACTTCAAACGTTCCAAGTCTGGAATATATTGGTTAGCATTAAAAGTTTTGTAGTCTATCCAAATTGGTTGATATTCATTCCTTATATTTTTTATTGTACAGGATATAGGCCTTTTTTTCCAATCCCCTCAGCCTTTTTAATTTAACATTGTCATAATGCAATGAAACTTGGGATACTGAACAAACTAACAGTTGTGATCAGTTTTGTTCTTCATATTTTACACCCACACATCACGCATTTAGCCGTAAAAACACGTATAACAACTATAAAATTAGAAAAAAGGCGTGGAGGAAAGAGTGGAAAAGAGCCAGATTATACACCATTGAAGGTGCAAAAATTCAATTTATTTAAAAATCAGCAACATTGCCAACCTTTTAATTGCTGTTTTATTTTTCGATTCGTTCCACTCACCTCTAAACACGAGAAAATAATTTCACATTCCAGACAACTTTTCGTTTTCGCGAAGGTTCTGAATTGCAAATTGTGGAACAGTCGATAACAAGTTTATAATAGCTTATCTGATAACAAGCAAGGGCTCTTTTCCAGTTTCCTTCACCAGTATGTTTAAAATTGAAAAAAAAATGGCTCATTTTCTTAGAAAATTTAAAAACTAGTTCACTTGTTCACGCTGACACGTTTTACTGTAGTTTAGAAAATCAAAATCATTTACTCATCAATAACACGACAAAAAACGGAGGGGGACTTGAAAAGAGCCCATGTAACCAACTGGAATTCAGAAGCTTAAATTTAAGTGGCTCCATTTCCGGCGATGCTTGTAAGAGCCCGTGCGCTAATAGATTTGCACGTGCCCTCTGAGTGTACGAGAAATGGAATTGGTGTTCTGATAAGCTATGTTTGATCTTTTACAGTTTCCCACCCTCGTAAAATTACAAAATTAATCTGTTCACAAATTGTTCACACGGCATTTTGAATGTTGTAGAAGTTTTCCACCTGTTCACGCTGACACGTTTTGATGCAGTTTATAACATGGAAAGTAATTTTGAAAAGCCTTTAAATTTTGAATTTCAGAACAAATCAAAGGCGGGAATTGGAAAAGAGCCGCTACTTTATCCCAATTGTGTTCTGACTAGCTGTTCCAATTGTACGGGGAATAGTTGTAGGAAAAATCAGAACACCAATTTTTTACCTGTTAAATAAGGAAAAGTTGCTGGAATTAGGCCAAAGCAAGGATTGATGCAACTTTCTAAATGGGAGCTTTTGTTTTTAGATCTTTCTCTCTGTTTAAAAATAGAAAAACTTAGACAATTGATTTTCTCGCCAAAGATTTGAACGGTTATATACAGTTTAATGGAAGCACTTCAAGAAAAAATTAATCATTTGGTTGTCTCAAAACTCATTATATTATAAGTTATAACCAATTGG